GATATGATATAATAGTATTAATATGGTATTTACTGTTAAAATCGCTGTACTGATTTGCTGTATTATGTCGTGCAAATGTGGCTTGTTACAATTGCGATACAGCATAGCATGGCCGGGAATTGTTTTCAGCCCTTTTCTGGAGTATCACATTATATTCGGTGTTATACACTACAGTTTGATAATATAGTGTAGCATGCTATCGTATATTATGTTATTCGTACAGTATATATTGTACTATATTGTGTATTTCGTTGTAACATTCGATTGTGCTTTGTATATTTGTCGTAGTATTGCAGGAAATTGTGCCCTAATCACGTGCAGCATAGTATACGAATGCTAGTCTTCGTATGTTTTGCTGTCTGTCTCTACCGTACTATATGATGTATTCTGAGATAACTATTTTGTCGTATATAATATCGTATTCTTGTACGGCATCAAAATGAATATCATAATATGGCATATGATTTGTAACTTCGTATTCTGCTGTGACGGTTAATTTTTAGATTATTCACTGGTACGAAAACAAGCAGAAGAGATCGCTGGATAACAAGAAAGAAGCGCTGTTCGATCCGTCGACAGACCGGGGGACTATTTATAACTTGAAACCGTTCAAAACCAATTACGCCAAGGTGTTGGTTTACAATGGAGCTTACGATGGACCCGCCAGCGAGCCAATCAAGTTCAATATGCCAGAAGGAGGTAGGATATGCTTCAGTGATATTTCGCGTAACTAGTTTATGCATAAATAATAATTATTGCCACCATCTTAGGACTTAATACCTATTATTACAGATACGTGTATGTATAGGAAATAATATTATTCTTTTGCAATTTTTTTATGTATGTATGGTATCCGGACGATGCTTTACGTCCACAGTCTGTTTGTTTCTTGAGGCAGCATAATGACAGCTTCTGAAGGAACACGGAAAATGAATCGTGGTTGAGCAATTTTCTAACGATCTTTTAGTCAAGTCGTTGAGCACTATCATACCCTGCAAAAATTTAGGAGGATTTGAGCTTTACTGCAGAAAGTCTGCTTTACGGCATGCACTGATACTAAACTCCAAAAATGTGCGTCCATGTTTAAAATACGTTTACACAGTCCCTTAACACTATACGTTGCTGTGCGCATTGTCTTTCATCATCTTCATCTTCCATCGCCGCTACTCCTTTCGGGTCGGGCAGGCAGACATGTCAGACAGAGCTTCCAACGTTCCCAGAGTCTGAGTATCAGCAAAAGACAAACGGAGTCTGGAACAGATTCCTTCCATATGTTTCCACCAGATTAATTTTGGCCGTCCCCTGGGCCTTTTGCCGCTCGGATTTGCAAGGAACAGTTGCTTAGCTTTCCTTTCTGGAGGCATTCGCAACACATGCCCAAGCCATCG